AGCTAAATGGCAATGTCGGGGTGCTGCTGCTGCTGCTGTTACACAGTTCGCGTAGCTTAGCCACTCCTCGTTGTTTGTGGTGAGTTCGCCCAGCGAAGCGCTCGCCGCCCAGGCTGAGACAGTCCCGCTGAAGACTCGGCGAGACGCGTGGCGGACGAGCTTGGGCGCATTCCGGGTGGACCGGTCAATGTTAATGTGATGGTCACAGCTTGTTATTATTAACCTCGGTGATCTCGTCAAGGTGGGATAACGAAGCACGCGAACTCACACCCAGCATCCTCACGGCAGCGGCTTGTGGATATAACCCACGAACACAGACGGGCAACCACCGCGTCGCGCTTTCAGACGCGCTGCTGTGCGGCCGTCTGGAACGTTCCCCCCCTCCCGACTCGCGAGGCTGTGTACTTTTATAAATCGTCTCGATTGAAAACGCGTTTCTTTTGAACTTATTTTGGTGTGTTTAGTTTGTAGGCCTTCCCCCGCCGCCGCACCTCCGATTAGCACGGTTGGCTACGTACGGTGCGAAAGAAGTTCAAAGTACACACAAACAATGCCACCAACGGGAAGTGCTTTGAGTATACAGGACCGTATACCTCCACACTGTACACGTGCGATGTGAAACGTGGCAGCCAGAGTTTTATACACACACACACTGCCCACAGCCACGCGTGCCGAGGGAGAATGAGGGTCGACTCACCCCTCCACTCCTCCGTACATCCTCCTCACCATTGCTCCCTCGCTCGTCCGCACTCACCAACTCACCACCACCACCAACTCGCCGCCGCAGCCACGTGACCCGCGATCAGCTGATTCCGTCCACGTGCGGCATCGTTGGAGAACGCCCACGTGGGTACCATGTGCGTCTTGCGGCCCTCTCTCGCGCGGGCTCAGTCGGTCGATTTTGCATTGCGTGTAGTCGACCCGTGCGGTGTATTAAGCCTGTTTTCATGCTCTTTGGTTTTTTCGGTAAAGTAACGTAGGTAAAATAAAATTTTAAATCAAAGAAAACAACTAAATTAAATCACGACGTTTCGGAGGCAACACAAGCTTCCGTCTTCAGGTGGAACAAGATAGCTGAATTTTACCTTACGTGACTTTACCGAAAAAAACAAAGAGTATGAATCCTTGCAGTCACGAAAGCTTCAAATCTAGAATTAAGCCCGCATTGTTTGTTGTGCAGGTAAATTGAGTTGGTCAGGTCCATGCGGCGTACGGACGTTTCAATGCGGGCAACATTTTTTTGTTTTGTCTTTGTGTGTTTCTCCCTTGTGATGGGACTTTGTAGGATGAACGTTGAGATTTATAATGTGCACGGGGTTGTGACCAATAAGGTCTGAATTGGTCTGTAATAATGTAGGGCACTGATAAGGGGTTGACAAGTATGTAGTGGTGAGTGTACTAGTGGTGACTAGTAGTGGTGATTGTCTATTTGTGTTTCTCCCTTGTGATGATGCTTTGTAGGCTGAACGTTGAGATTTATAAGGGCACGGGGTGTGACCAATAAGGTCGAGAAACCTGTAATCCGATAGGAATTGCATTTCCTCATGTAACTCTTTGAGACAGTCCGTATGCAATATGGTAAGTCGGATGGGCATTTCATTTCTCTGTCATTTTTTAGGCCTGTCCATCTGATTTTACCCACAAACTGGGTTTGAAATGCTTGAATTGGGACGAACACCATTTTGTTGCTTAAAAATAGCAGTTTTAATGGCATTTTTGAACCAAACAGCGCCCTTGGTGGCTGGATGCTACTGTTTTGCAGTTTTCCCCTGAACGTTTCTATTGCTGGATTTAGTTGCAGTTTTGCGGTAAAACCACTGCTTACAGCTTCAATGTGGAAAACCTGGTTTAAAGTAATGTATTTGTAGAAAAACTCTGCTTTTAGGAGGGGTTTCAATGAAAGAGCGCCCCTAGTGGTGGAAGAGCGCTCCCTAGTGGTCAATATTTGATGAAGTGCAAAAAAGAAATCAAGGCTTCTTCTCACTACTTTGTACCAGCTTTCTGTTCGTTTACTCAGGTCCGCCCATTTCCAGGTTTCTTTTATTTAAAGCTTTCGTGACTCCAGGTTTCTTCTTCGTCAACCCTTCTTGCAGGTCCCTTTCGTTCTCCACCAAGGTTGTCTCAATCCTTACCCCCTCTGCATTGGCATCTCTTAGGCGAATGTGTGTCTTGTCCCGGGCTTTTGCCACCAGACCAGTTTTTTATTCATTCACTTGCCGTTGCCAGGATTCGAATCTTCTATCGTCAAACTCTAAGGTTGTTTCGCATTGTATCATTGCTCTGAGCTACCCTATCCTCGCACGAACTTATGGGGCTTAACGTGGTGTAGAGGCTGCAATGTACGAATGTAGCTGTGTAAACATCACACGTTGATGTCATTACGCACTTTTAAAATAAATGCAAAAAATAAACGTGGGATTTGAACCCCGGTCTTTCATGCTTTAAAAAATAGCCAAGCTATCCACTACACCACATAGCCTTTTTAAGTGTGACACATGCTCTGGTTGTTAAATCACTACGTTGTTCAATGTTACTGTTTTTCAAATGTATTGGGGTTTCTTGTATGAAACGAAAAAAATATTGTTTCACTTTAATACTTGTGATGACTTTGACTTGCAAAATATATAATGCATGAATGAAAAAAAAGCTGAATTTGAATCCCTTACGCTGTGACTCGCAGCCCCACGTGCTCTCCACTCGGCTATCGAGAAGGGGGGAGTCGTTGTGGGTGTGCCGACCAGGAAGCTGCAATGGGAGTGAACCTGGTGCCGAAGAGTTTCCTAACACCCGTTGAAGCACTCTCCACAGAAACACTCTCCTCACTCGGGGAGATCTGGTGTGGGCAGCGGATGGACGCATCTCTCGCCACGAGTCTCTCCACGGTGGCGAGATGTTAACTACCTCGCCCTGATATGGGTTTAGATCCCAACCCTGACGGCTGTATATTTGGAGTTCTCCCCATGGTCGCGTGGATTTTTCTCCGGGTACTCTGGTTTTCCCCTCCACATTTAGAATCAACAACGTGGGTTTAAGAGTATTTGGCTGCTAACACATTCCTGCGGAGGGAGCTGGTAGGAACGTTGGGTTGCTCGGTCAATGGCCAGGGTCAACGGCGGCACCACGTGGTGTATTCCGCAAATATTCCCGACTGAGGGCGGGCACAAGCCGGCGTGAGTAGGTTAAACGTTGAGTTTTATAAGGGCACCACGGGGTGACCAGCCCCTCCCCACCCAGCCCCACCCCTCTCATCCCCCACCCCTCCCACCCAGCCCATCCCTCCCACTCAGCCCCTCCCCACCCTCCCCACCCAGCCCCTCCCCACCCTCCCCACCCAGCCCCTCCCCACCCTCCCCTCTCCACCCAGCCCCACCCCTCCCATTTTATCCGGGTGTCCGGATACACGTGGACAGACATCCACAATTAATCCCCTGTCTTCTGTGAATTAATCCCGGTTGGGCTTCCAGTCCACTACGTTTCCTACCAGTAATGCCCACTAGGAGCGCATTTGTTATATATCCGGGTGTCCGGATACACGTGGACAGACATCCACAGACATACACAATGAATCCCCTGCCTCCTGTGAATTAATCCCGGTTGGGTTTCCAGTCCATTACGTGTCCTACCAGTATAAATGTTCACATAAGCCACTTCGTTGAGCCATCATTTGTGGTCGGGTCGCTTCTGAAAAAGAGCTACATAGCTCAGTGGGCCTGACTTGGTAATATAAAGTTATCCTCTTTGGTTCTTTCGGCAAAGTCATGCAGGTAGAAAAAATAATAGATCACGACGTTTCGATCGCAACACAAGCAACCGTCTTCAGGTGAAGACGGTCGCAACACAAGCAACCGTCTTCAGGTGAAGACGGTTGCTTGTATTGCGATCGAAATGCCTTGATCTATTATTTTTTCTACCAACGTGACTTTACCAAAATAACCAAATAGTATGGATTCTTGCAGTCACGAAAGCTTCAAATCAATATAAAATTAGTTTCTAGTTCCCTCTCAGACTCCAGATTGTCATCAAATCGCTTTTATTATTGTATCGTTCGTATATGCTCTGCTAAAGCGCCCAGGGTACATTGTGCGCAGCAGATGGCAGTACATCACCGTATATGCTCTGCTAAAGCGCCCAGGGTACATTGTGCGCAGCAGATGGCAGTACATCACTGGTAGAGCAAGCCTGTAATCCAACACTGTAAAGGCGAGGGTGGGCATATCACACAAATGTTGTTAAACTCCCTTCCCGTGAGTATTGAGTGTGCCACGCTCTGGCTTGCCAGGAGAGGTGGTAGAACAAATACACATGCAAACAATGATTAAATGTCCGATAATTATTTAATATATGGAGGACCACAGAGCTTGAGCTATGGTTAGCACTGGATCATTGCGTTGCTGCCTTCCCACTTGTCTGCCATTCCTCCGAATTCTCTTTTCTCTACAAATGAGCGAATATTGTGTACTTGACAAGTTGAAATGTATTCTTTTCCATCAGTGTACAGTCCTGGTGTGATTAAACTTTATTGACAACTAAAAGTCCAATTCAGCCCCCATGAAGGAAAAGGTTCCTCACTCGTATAGAATGCAACTCTATGGGGTCAATTCACTATGTATGTTGAACTTCTTTCGCACCGTACGTAACCAAACCATGCAAATCGGAGGTGTGGGGGAAGGACAAACTAAACACAAAAAAGTAGCTCTAAAGAAACTATTTTTCAGTCTAGGTTTAAAAGTGCATCGCTCCAGTGGCTTCCTCATATCGGGAAGAGCGTTCCAGACGGCCGTATAAGCGCATCTGAAAGCACGCGATGCAGTGAGCGTCTTTGTTCCGACGGTTCGTCAAAATCCGCTGCTGTGAGGACGAGCGGAGTTCACGTGATCGTTTATGTTCTGTGTGACATCAGCAATTTATTATTGTTCATTTACGGCAAGCACTGCGTGTGTAATGAGTGCGACCTCATAATGTATTCGTTCAGCAACCGGAAGCCAATGCAGCTCAGCGCGTGCGTTAAGTGAGGCCAGCTCAGCTGTCACGTTTTTATTGACGGACGTTATGGAAGCGCGCAACACACATCGATGACGGGGGGGGGGGGTCATCAAGGGCGGCTCGAATCTCGACCGCGCGTCCCGCGGCCCGTGCGGGGTGGTGGAGGCTGCCAGGCAAGGGTCAGCTCGCGTCATTCACAACGCGGATATTCAAGTGCATTCGACGGGCTATTCCATCGCCACATTGAACCACGGTGCGACGTGGCTCATCGTTAAACAAAAAACCCTCGTAAACTGCAGTCACTAATTAACCGAGCTCTTTCAGACAACACAGTAGTAGTAATAATAAAGAAGACAACAGCAAAAACAAAGGTAATCCTAAGCAAAAGTCTTACACCATTCACGTAAGCAGAGGACTCGTGCCATAAGCGTCCATTTGCGTAACTCAACGGATGCAAAAAAAATTACAATTCAAGCAATATCTTTAGAGGAACACGTGCCATATTGTCAGCACATTTGAAGTTACATTTTCACATCTCTTGAATGTTAAGATATTTAAAGGTGAAATTTTCTGTTCAAATTTCATTTTATTATGTAGCTGCCCTACCCAATGGCCAAAGGTTTTTAATTAATAAATGAGTGGTTACAATTCAAGGCTGCTGTTTTATTCAAATGTTGATTGGGGGTTTTTTTGTTCACGTTTTTTGCCATATCATGAATTGTTTCTGCTTTTTCCTTCCAATTTCACGTTTCCCCCCCCCCCCCCCCCCCGCTCACCATCAGCCTGCATTGAACATTAGCACATAATTTGAATGCAATTAGAACGATTGGTAATTGACTGTGACGCATGGATCTAATCACGATTTGCTGAGTGCAGAGGTTCTCCAACCCGTGAGTCAACACCCTCCTCCAGCCCCCAGTAGGGCATCAACGCCTCTCAGCGGGGGGTGTTTGTACAGGCTACGGTAGGAATACGGGGCTGGAATAATTTATGATGCGCAAACGGAACCTCTGGGGAACGCCAGCCCCGCATTGCAGACTACATAATACTGCGCAACACTAAATAATTGTGAGGGCGTTGGGGAGACCAGTGTTCTTGAGGGGGGGGGCTGTCATGCCATAGGCCGAGAACCTCTGGCTTAGTGTAACATGACGAAATTATCTCATTACCAAATATCTTTTCACATCCTTCCTGTGTGACTAAAACACTGCGGCAAACAATATTTTTTTCTATCGTCATTTCCGAAAACATAAAAAAGGAAAAAAAAACACGAATCACAAATGTTTTGTCAGTTTTTTGTTTGAACGTTTGAATGTCCTTGCGATTAATAACATAACATCTCAAAGCAGGGCTGTTTCTTAAAACGCACACGAGGACATGTAGTTGAACTCAAGTATAGCAGCGCCTGTGTTGAACATGGCCGATAAGAGGAACTCAAAACTGTAACGCACATTCACTATCAAGTTCCACACTTGGACAGATTTTTTTTTAACCAGCCCTCAACGATGCAATACAGGCAAACTAAATACGTTTATAATTAATGTTGACTGTGCATACATGTAAACATGTAGTCAGTAATGCTAATTTCAAATACAAGGCCACACTGAGAAACGCCGTGAACAAATTAAGATGCGGCAAAATGTAAATTAACTTTTTTCTTGTTACAAAATAAGCTCACCTCCCAATGCCAATCTCAAGTGTCCTCAAGAAGAATATCTGTCGACACCTATCAATATAGCGGCGCAGGCTCTCATCCCGTTGCCAATGATAAATGACGTTTCACATGCGGTGAGCGTCATCACGCTCTTCGATGTTTTTGGTTGTCCTGCAAATGTGGACTGTGCTGGACGTCCAATCAGTGCGGTGGCACAAACCCAGAATTCTATCGCACGTGGTGGACCTTTTAAATGAATCACCGTGGACACATTTATATCATTATGACTAAATCATTTAAATATTTGCATTGAATCCAACAAAAACTTGCGGAAACAAAAAAAAATACAAGTACCAGGCACATATACTATTACCTGGGGTCTGTATCCAACATTGTTTAAAATCAAGTGTAATACAAAACTATTTGTCTTGCCTAAGGCCGGATAGCCTTGCATACATTCTATAGGTCTGCCAATTGGTGAACAGCAGACAAAATGTCTTTTCACTGGCAAAACTGCAGGCCACCGAAGTGTAATATTCAAGAACTCCAAAGAAACATGTGCATTTAAGAGTAACTCTAAATCAAACAGTGGTGCAATAGCGAAAGTGCCAATGACAGATGCAGGCGGCACAACAGATTATGCGGAAGGAATTGCAAAAACTTATTTTTTTTACATTTTCAAACACTTCTCTATACTAACCGTCCATGCTACACTCGCCAAATCCATATGCGTGGTGACCACATGAAGGTTATTTGAAGGTATGCATTTGGTAAAAAAAAACAGTGGAGCCGATTGTCTGACAAAGCCAACAGAGACAGAGAGTGGGAGGATTTCCCTATGGCCATTTGTGCTGCTAGTTTACCCAGAGAAGACTCACCGAGTCTCAATTCTTTTCAGGAGGGTCCTGCCAAGCTTTCGCAGTCGGGGGCTTGTTGCTGCTGTGTGATCCGAATTGAGTATTGTACATGTAATATTCAGCTTTGGCATGTTCGACCAATATCAGTTCCATTGTGTAGTATTTTAGTCACTGGAGGAAAATCAGAGAACCCAGACGAGATCCATGCAGAACAGAGGGAGAACATAAAAAAAACTCAACATACAAAGGCGCCCGAGTCAAGAAACAAACCCAGGCCCTTCTTGCTGTGAGGCACACTGTGCCACCCTGCCACCCAAACTCCCTGCTGCTGAGTCCAGACTCAAGACCTTCATCTTCTCCTCTGTCTAGGACTGACTGCCTCTCTTAACCAAGTTATTGCGATTGCTGCTGACCTTAAACATAAATCTTCATTTTGGTGGTCCCCGTGATGTGAATGACCTCTACATTGCAGAGCATCTTGACATGCAGTCATATTTAGATGCTCGGTAGATCCAAATTGCATCAGTATCCTACTGAATTGCTGTAAGGATTTCAGACTATTTGTCCTCATCGTTAACAAAACCTGTATACCCCAGCCCTGCTAAGCGCTCGTATTCACCGGGTTTGGTGCCACAACTGTGTGGTCCTCAGGATGACCCACGCCCTTTCCGCACGCACGAGAATTAAACCTGGCGCGACCATTTCTCCAGGACAAATTTACCAGGAGAGCGGGGGCATCCCTCCACTAATGGGCTCCACCTATTAACGACGCCGCCTGGCAAGGTGCAATCGTGCGCGCCACACGGCACTTTAGCTTGCGCTGGGAATGCATAGGCAAGAAGGATGCTGCTTCTGTGGCATCCGTGCCATTAGTTGGGGGGGGGAAGGGCAGAAGGGGAGGGCATGGAGGAGCAGTGGTGGCAGATAACGTGCGTCGTGATGGGGCGGCTGCGGTCACCAGGATGAGAAGAAGGGCTTGCTGCGGATGATCTGGATGAAGCTGGTGCTTCGTGAGCGAGAGGCCGACTCCACGACAATGTGTGGCATGTTGACAAGGTCCAGGGGCGTCTTGCCTTCGTGCAACGCTCGTTCAAGGTTCATGATCTGTTGCGTGCGCAAGGCGACAATGCGTTTGTGAATACAATGATCATTGAAAATCAATACTGTTGCGATATGAGTATTGTGAGTGTTATGTATGATTATATTATCAATGGTTTTTGCTCTAAAAATGCAATGTTGTTGCATTGTGGACACTAGACCACTCGTTATGCAACATCACATCCCTATATAAACGATATACACACCACACAACTTGTTTTTTTTTTACATACCGGTGAATGTAGCGTACACTAGTCGCGGCAGTGGTGAAGTAAACCCAAAACATATAAGACATACAAAGCATCGATTCTTACACATTGTATTCAAGAAAGTGGTACAACAAACGTGGACTATTATCTGTCCAATCTATACAGGATAGAGTGCTGCCCCTTTGCACGCGTGGGTTTTTCGCTAGGTGCTCAGGTGTTCTCCCACATGTATAAACACTCAGTAATTGGCCGAAAACACATTAATATATGTGCCTGTGTTTGCGGATGTCAGAGCGTAGCGTGTGATGCAGTTGCATGCATTATGCTACGTAAAACCTAAATATTATTATTGCTACTGTGAGAGATTACAAATCGATTCATGAACAGCACCTACCTGGCCTCTCATGACTGACATCTGCTTATCGAAGGTGTGTTTATCAAAGCCTTTGTCATCCTGCAAAATGAACAAGTCTGTGGTTAGATCGTAACAAACAGAATTTGCGTAGAGGTTTCCTTTTCAACAACATAATTTTAAGCTGTAATTGCAGTAATTTGAAATTTCATGCGACCGATTAAAAAATGCGTACAATATTCTACGCTATTTAATCTCAGATACTTTTTAAAGAAAATTACAACAAATGTAACGTCACATGTGCATGTGTAAGTCTACGGTAACTTCCGTGGTAGAGGAATCGCAGCACGGGGCACAAATAAAGACAAATACGAAGATCCCCCATATAGCCTTGAAAGACTGTTGGGGCAAGTGCTGTTAGCGAGCACCTGTTAGCAGCACGGGACACACAACCTGCAATGGAACACAACTGTCACTTGAGCTTTTACAGTTTCTAAATGTTCACATGCAGCAGGTTCATGCTGTTTTTTCAAATGACACCTTTTCTTCACCGCACCTAATACCCATGCTTTTGTCTTGCAATTACATCGCTAACTGGTAGCAAGCTATAACTGTTTTACTTTCACTTTTGTGCCATACCCAATGAGAAGCAAATTATTTGGACACTGATGATGGGAAGATTAGAGTTTTAAGTGTTCCGCGTGAGAGTAAAGCATTGGAGGACTTTATACTGGCCCTGCTCTGAGTAAAGCCTTAATATTTCAAGAGGCTCCAATTATTTGGTTAATGGATTTTTCAGATTATAAGTATAGGTGTGACTATATTGTACCAAATATCAGCTTTTTAGCCATCTAAAATGTTATTATACTTCATGTCAGACAATCAGTAAGCCACAATCATATTTTTTATGACCAGAAATTTGATAGCGTAATAGAAGATCTTGGGCTAACTAGCACCATTGCTGGCTTCATAGCCCTTATAAAACATCGCAAGCATTTGTCCGTCGTGATTGTCTATGTTGCATGAGCCACGTACAGCCTTTCCATAACCAACCTTGCACAGGTCAAAGAGATCGTGGCAGAGGTCCTGCACAAAGCTCGTGTCCTCCAGCTTTGGCAGCACCAGCTCCCGGATCTCTTGTGAGAACTGCACCTTGGCCTGGGGTAGCCAAGCCCAGTAAAACGGATCTGCGGCGATAACAGACACCATCAACAAGATTATGTGGGCTCTTTGTTGGCAATCCACTGCTGGATGAAGGCTTCCTCGCACCGTGTCGGTCATGTGCGTTATTTAACCTTAATTCACCACCGCTGGTCAGTGCAGCATTAAACAGGGAACGTATCTGAGAGGAGGTCCATGAAAGAGGTGAAGCAATGAAATAAATTCATGTGCAAGGGACAGGTGGGATCGCTACATTGCAGGACTGTTATCGATGGTGACAACTTGTGGGGGCTGGGCAGGGGGCTCCATCTAGCAGTGGATAGATCGTGGCCGATGATAGTGAATGCAACAACACATTTTAATGTAAGCGTCAATGCCTTGCTACATGCGTAGTTTGCGACACTAGAAGCAACAGCAGCTGAAGTGCAGCCTGTCAGGAGTTAAGTGCGAACGCCCGTACTCACAAGCTCTCCACGAGTCCGGGTGCTTGAAAGGGAATGCCAAGCCATTGTCAATAGCAGCGATCTTTATTACAGGCTCCTTCACCATCAGCCAGTCCGAGTCCTGTAATGAGACAGGCGGAGCTAGGAACCAACTACCAACTCATCGATCAAGGATGTGCAGATGAGACAATTCTTTTAGACAATTTGCTATGTTGCCGCTGCAAAATTCAGGGTGCAAATGAGTTAAGCCTAGGGATCTTCCACAATAAAGGCCAATATTAGCAACATAACATCCGTGTAGATAATTCCAATGGACTGAGTGATTATGATGTGTGACGATTTTTTGAAGTGCTAGAGTGCTGAGATTTGCCACACACATAGGCCCGGAGGGTTGATTGGGTTCACTCATGGGGCAGGATCAGTCTACAATTCTACATTAAGATCCCCATCAGTCCAATAGAAAATGCAATCCTCTGGAATATGACCCTGAAATTCAATAGGTGTGCGTAAGAACCACGCTATCGGTGCAGTGTGTGTGATATGTGCTGGCAATGTTGATGATGATGGTCCAGTGCCGTGGCCACTCACGCGGTTGTCAGAGACGGGGCAGTCGTACTTAATGAGCCAGTTGTCGTTGCCTCTGTCTGGAAATAAGAGACAATCAGACGGCAGTTTAAATACTTCGCAAAAGTTCATTTTTTTCACGACAGCTGTAGATAATAGTAAAGCTTCACTGAGTCTCAGATGTCTTTTACAGGAGGGTGCTCCATTGGGATGTTTAACAAATTCTGTTAAACAATTGTTAAGCATGTTTGAGGAAACTGGAGTACCTGGAGAAAACCCACCTCTATATGAGGGGGTAATACTCAAAACTAGCCGAAGTCTATAACACCTTGCATCTGAGAATAAAGTACTTTATTCTACACTCCTTGCTTTCACCAATCCACAGTGAATGAAGTGGGTCAAGTACAGTCACATAACCCCAACGATTGACATTGAGTGGGGTTGCACTCATACAGCAGTGGATTGACAAAAGGGCTGTACACGAACCATACATATTGTCATTTCCCATTCACATCGGGTGGATGCCAATCAACACTCCGATTTCACACCTCCGATTAGCACGGTTGGCTATGTAAGGCGCGAAAGAAGTTCAACATAATACATACAACACGGAATTGAACTCGAATACAGGAACAAAATGACCATGCAAGAGTGGGGCGACTCGGTGACCAGGTAATGGCCGATAATAATGAACTTTACTCTTACGTGTGACGTGCCACCCGCAACTGTTCCCAGTCATGAACAAAAGGGTTGCTATCCGCCCTCCGTGCGGAGCGACTGGTTGATGAAAAACACCAACGCGGCCATGATGCGGTAAGCAACGCTCTCCTGGTCGGCGCCATGAGCGCCCACGGCCGCGCACCTGTGTTGCGTATGATGTAGTCGAGGACCACGAGCCTTTCGAACTGCAGCTGGAATTGCTTGCGCGTGTTCTCGGGCAGTGGCTCCGTCTCGAACCTCCGCAGCCAGAAGTCGGCGTCCTTGTAGCCGTCCACGAAGAGCTGAAGCGAGCCCACCTGCCGTGTGCAGTGTCCCCGAAGCGAATCCTTACGTTACAACAACATCGGCATTGGGAATAGGTTTTACCCTTTTAACTGGCACAAAAACTGACACCTTTATTCAAGGCATCATGTTTGCAATAACCACAACACAAGCAGTCAAAATGCAAACAAAAAAGACAACTCTGATAATAATATGCACTGTCCTTGAATTTAATTGGTCCACACCCGAGACAGCTTTTCTTAGAGCCTAGTCTCCATTGGTGTTGGACCAGAAGACGCCAAAAGGCGTACAACTCAAAAACAGCGCACTATCAGAGTAATGAGGGCTCGGGGTGAGCATTTACATTATGAGACCTCCTTTGCCAGTAACAAGATATAGGAATAGGTTTTAACCATAATGTAAATGCTCACCCCGAGCCCTCAATACTCTGATAGTGCGCTGTTTTTGAGTTGTACGCCTTTTGGCGTCTTCTGGTTCAACACCAATAGAGACTAGGCTCTAAGAAAAGCTGTCTCGGGTGTGGACCAATCAAATTCAAGGACAGTGCATATTATTATCAGAGTTGTCTTTTTTGTTTGCATTTTGACTGCTTGTGTTGTGGTTATTGCAAACATGATGCCTTCAATAAAGGTGTCAGTTTTTGTGCCAGTTAAAAGGGTAAAACCTATTCCTATATCTTGTTACTGGCAAAGGAGGTCTCATAATGTAAACATCGGCATTATCGTCGTCACCATTTGGATTCTATACCGAGCTTTCCATACAGGGCGATTCGAGGTGCCCTGTGGCAGTTCTAGCTAAGGGGACCCCACCCCATCCCTAGGTGGGAGCTGTCTATGTGTAAGGTGAACACAGCACCAGCCTGCAAAGTTGAGCCCTTAATCTGCCAGTAGGTGGGAACATTTTGTTGCATGGTATTTCCCAATAAAGTAAATTCTGAGTAATTTATCAAACTTGACTGCTGGCTTACAAATCACAGTGGCGTCAGACAGCAACAAAAAGCAATTGCTTAATTGGATTTAAGTTGTATGAGACTGGTGAAGAAATGCAGAACATGTTCAAGAGGTCAACCACTGGCAAGGTGGAGTGATGAGATGTGTGGGAGCAAGATGGATTTTGGCATCGCAGGGCCATCAACGATGGCGACGTGACGAGGCCTTTGTCGAGCAGTGGAGATCATTGCTGCTGCTGCTGCTGCTGATGATGATCAGTTTTCTAATGTGTGACATGCCAGCAGCAACTCTTTCCCGGTCATTAACACAGGCAGCCGTCTGCCTAAATGCGTTTACCTTGGGCGGCAATCCCACCCTCCGAAACATGCGCCCGACGGATGGAATCTTCTCCATGGTGAACTTCTTTCCCTGAGACTTGCAGCGGTCGATTGGCCCATAGTAAAACGTCTTGCATGCCAGGTGCACCACCTGTGGGGGAACATCAAGCGCCGGCACGGTGTGCAACGTGTTTTACATTCAATGCGCGTACAACACTGGGCAGCCAAGAAGGAACGATCGTTAACGTCAAAGTCACTCCGAAATAAAACGCGAGCCCTTCGTCAATTATAGAATATCAGAGGTGTATATTTTGTCCGTAACAGTTAGTAAGGTACAAAGTGATTTAATTTATAACCTAACTTATTTATCCATAACAGTCTCATTGAGTCTTAAGACTCCCTTTTCAGGAGGAATTCCTGAAATTAACCGACTCTACCTTGGTTTTGGGGACCACGTTCAGCTCAAGCTTCTGGTCCACGAGGCTGGCGCCAGCCTCGGAGAGGTAGCCGTGGTTGGGCACCAGGCAGCCACGGCCAAAGCAGCATGGGCAGCAGTTTTTGTGAACCCACTTGGTCCACTTGGGGTTCAGGTGTCCGTACGGTTCCTCATCCTTAGGCTTGAACACCCCAACCACTTTCTGGTGATGCACAGGACGCAACCCGCACATCAGATTAGCACGGTTGGCTACACACGACGCAAAAGAGGCTCAACATCCATACATACAATCCACAAATGGAAAATGAGATTCGCCTGAAGAATAAACTTGATATTTCATGTTGAATAAAGGCACGAGCCTTGGTGTCATGAGGCCTCCTTTGCCAGTACCAAAATATGCTAATAGGGTTTTCCCCCTTTTTTCTGGCAACAAAACTGACACCTTTTGCAAGGAATCATGTTAACATTAACCACAATATTTGCAGTCAAATGCAAACAAAAAACAATACTCTGATAATGTATGCATTGTCCTTGAAACTGATTGAGACTAGGCTCTAAGAAAGCTGCCTCTGGTGTGGACCAATCAGTTTCAAGGACAATGCATACATTATCAGAGTATTGTTTTTTGTTTGCATTTGACTGCAAGTATTGTGGTTAATGTTAACATGAGTCCTTGCAAAAGGTGTCAGTTTTGTTGCCAGAAAAAAGGGGGAAAACCCTATTAGAGCCTTGGTGTGTTTTTATTATAGATACGCGACTTGGAGAAGCCATCAGACATGCCTGATTTAATTGTAAAAATGAAGTGTGGCTTTTCACTGCATGGCACCACATTCCATGTCCACACAACATTTTTCCACAAAAATCTATTAACTTTAGAACGGTTTTTGCACATTTAGTTATCAATGCTTTCACATACATTGCCTTCAGTAAAACATGTTTAAGAGTTCCATAAACGAGAAGAAAAACCTCTAATTATCATTATTCGTCAATAACACTGCCGTAAAATATTTTTTTTTAGTAATAGGTGACATTTTGGGCAATGGCTCTTCTTCATAGTACACAAATATGATAATGTAAATAGTGATTGTTACCCTACAGTGTTTAAAATTGCACATAATTAGGTAACAAAGATGTACATGTTATATTTCGTAAACCACTGTATCAAGATACTGAAATGTACTTTTTCATAATTTGACAATGAAATGAGTCTTCAGCTTTGTTTAAAACCATCCAATTGAAATATTTATTTATTGTACACTTTCAATTAATTTATTTAGACATGCTGCCTATATATGGAGCACATTCATCACAGTGGTTTGCACGGACAGCATCCTAAATCTGTGGCTGCCTTGAGGCTATCACAAGCTACCATTAAAATTATTCATGCAAAAAATAGCTTTATATATATAAAAGCACAGTATTCTGCAATGGTTTAGTGTTTATATTTGTTTGGCCGTAGAGATCATACATAGCAATCATCGCCCCCCTACTGCCAGACTAATGCCCGATTGCTGGCCAGGTGCTGAGTCAACCTGTACCGGCACAGGGGCAAGCTGGCGCTAGGGGTGTCCTTTCAAATGTGTTGAAATAAGCTGCGATGTACAACACTCTGAGATGTCTCGCCACACACGGCGCGATATCAATGTCAAATCATGTCTGTGACTTCAATCGGCGTAAATGTTCACATGCTAAGTTTGGCTGAAAACATTAATATACATGCACCTCTTTGTGTTGCGGATTGTATAGTGGTGTGAGATGCAGTTTGCATGAATGACGCTTTATAAAAACTGATAATTTTTAGGTGCTCTTTACAATACAAAAATATCTGTACTGCACACTCACATTTGCACCAAATGTTAAATTTATGATCATTCGAGTTCTATTTCTGGTGGATGTGAGCATGGCTTGCAATCCAGCATCTATCGGCCATCCCGAAGCTTAGCAGATTGACTGATTCTATCCAAGTACAAAGGTACTGGCATAAAGTAAATGGAAAAAAATGGTATTTGTACACTTTGACACTTGTAACCAGACGAAACATATTTGTTAATGCCATTAAAGCGGCTTGAGTTGGTTATCGCCAAGGTGAAAAGATGACCGGGTACCTAAAGCATTATCTGCGTCATCAACTTCGACTAATGTAGAACTGCACTTTCGCCATTCACGCCGAGTCAAGAAAAAAACACTGTGCTTGGACTGCTTAAACATTTACAAATCAGGAATATATATGTAGAATTACATCGAGCTGCAGCACAGACTTTACACACATTATGTACACATATGAGGAAGCAAATAATCTTCGTTCGTAAAGATTGCACACTTTCAACCTGCTTTATTGAAAGGTGGCCCTTCTGTTGTTGACATACTTTGCTCGAACTGTGTTGAGTTTCAAGTCCATTCTACAATCAGGAAAAACTAGAAATTCTAGATTTCCATGAGTCCTTTGCAGAGGCAGTTTAACATGGAGGCTTTTGCGACCAATATCATCCATAATATAGGTTTTTGGGGATTAGATCGTGTAAATATAAATGTCGTTAAACCCACCACCAACCAACAGAGCCAATTCATAAGGTTTGTCACGGAAACAGAACATGCCAATTCATTACTAGTACAGCACACCAGTGTGTTGGAAGCACATCCACATTTACAAGATTGTAAATATTGTGGATTGTAAATGTTGTTGCTTTGGTCTCCAACCAGTTTTCTCAGGACCCTCGGGTTTAAGGTATGATCTCCAAATGGAAGTCAGCCAACTGCTCTGCTGCCCTCTGTCTGCTCTGAAGTAGGACCATTGACCAAAATAGTTTCAGTACTGTATACATTTTGTTGTTGTACAAGGCAGTGTTAATGATGTGTTAAGTTATCTAGGTTTATTGTTGTCCACCAATTCCAACGCAGTTCCTTAATGTTTTGTTTAATACAGAAGTGGTTTGTGGCAGAATTGTGCACGCATATGAATAATCACATTTCTTTGAGATATAAACCAGCATTGCTTCACAGGATAAACGTACTACGACCAAATGTGTCGTGAATAATTCACAAACCACGGTGTTCTAACACTCTTAAATGTAAATCCCCTATTGCATTGTACAGAACTATTGAACCAAAACATCTATCTGCAATCATTTGTAAAATACAGTGCAGTTGCTCTGACTGCAGCCACTGCAGCATATAAACGTCTGTGCTCGGGGGCATCTCATAATCACCTTAAACAACCAACAGTTTCAAGAATTCTCCCACAACCACAGACTATACTGCTGATGAGACAAATCCAGCCACATTTGTAACAAGACTAATATAAAAAAACACAACAAATTAATAAAGAAAACGTGAATGTGTTATTGGGAAGGTGCATGCGTGGTTGCTGCCATGCCTCGTGAAAGCATACTCAGCACCAGTTCCTGCCATTGATTCACTGGGGTGTATTAACTCTGGCTCGATGTATCTCTGCGCCGGATTGATGTGGTAACATTGCTTTGGGCCTTGAGAAGCTGCACAACCAAACCCCTCCTTCACTTTAAGTCACTTGCATCCACTCAGCCCATATTCCCACATCAGCTAGTCAGAACTGTGTGTAACCCGTGCAAGCCTACAGATGCAATTATCTTGATGTTTTAAAGCAATTCTCCACGCCTTGCTCTTTGACCAATATTCATTTTACAGCACAATTTTGTAGCTTTTTTGCTCAAGTTTTCTGAATTATTAACTAATTTTTATGTATGCATTGCACAAGTCAAAAGTACAAAGCGGCAAGTGAGTTAATGTGCTGTACTTCACCATTAATGTTGGAATGCTCATTGTGCATTAGTTGTGGAGCATTATGGGTAATCTTTAACAAAAAAACAATTGTCTCATTAATCTCATTACATGAAATAGTTTATTCCATCGGCCAATGATGGACTTTCCAGACCAATATTATTCGGCATTTATCTAAACAAGCTAACTCTGCTGATGACACCCAAAGTGTCAAAACAAGTGCTGCGCCAGACTTGTTTAACAATTCACCGTACTGTAACTGCCTGGGTTGCTCGGATTTATTCATGGCACCACTCCATCTACACAAAACGCAATACCAGCAAGTGCATGAAAACCGATTTTGCCTTCTCGTGGAGCATCGAGTCATAAAATAAACAGACCTCCATTTGTCTCGCCATTCAAAAAAAAAGTTAAAATCAACTCTCAGTTGATCAAACTTTGGACCCACAAAATGTCATCACCAAAGTTGGGCTACAGACACACGTACATGGCCAGAAGGGGCTGATACAATATATAACTTGTCTGCCGTTGTGCATTCCTCATGTTTTTTCCTCACAAACTACACCACCACATCCACAACACCCACTGCACAAGACAACATGTGACATATACAAATACACATGACACCACAAAGTGTACACAATCACAGACACGGCATCGTACATACGCAATGCATGACACCACGCTCACATTACACACACGGCCCTTTCGTCAATCCACTGCTGGATGAGATACTCCCCACGCCGTGTGGTTGGTGAAGGCGGTGAACATAGGTTTGTTGCGGTTGCACCCGATTCAAGAGCCGAATGGCTCACAGGGCTATACCAATATAAATGAACTATGAACTATGGGGACATAGTACGGTACAATAATTGGCTGTTTTCCACTGCCTCGTGCTGGCCACAGCGAGGTTCCACAGCAGCCTATAATACCCACTCTGTAAACAAGGAACGTTGGGCCAACGTTGGCACATGTCAAAGTTGTCCCAACACTGTATGTTTACTGGGTACATGTCTGCTAACATGTTTTCCTCAGATGCCCTATATGTACACTTAACCGCCACTTTCCATTCAACCTTCGGTTCTACCCTTGGTGCTAATTAGTCAACCCATCAATCACTGTGATCTCTATTCGGGTTTGCGGCCTCTCTCAGACAGGGGACAAAATAATTGGGCCGAAATTGGTCTTGAATGCTTTGACAAATGGGTTAACGTCACAACTGTCGCGTTGCTCATCCAGATCGAAATCTTCACAAGCCACGTCGTGTAACGTGACACATGGCATACTACGCATCACATACACTAAAACACGATACACATTGCACACAACTCACATGACACAGCACACGCGTGACACAGCACACGCGTGGCACACCCCACAGACAACGAAGCCGACACGTACGTGACAAATACCACACACACACGACACACCACACTAAACACGACACACGTGACACACCAACCATTCCCACAATTGAACATGTGACAACACACATCACACACAAACCCAACACCCACACATGACCACACACACTCCGTAACTCACCGCACAACACGACAAACACCACAGACTTGACAAATGACGCAGGCCACAGACCCGCACGTCTAGACGCTCCGCGTACATGTCGCACAGCACTACACAAACAGGCCACACACTGAACATATGGCAAAGGCAAACCCAGCGTACAGCCATAACAGACTGTCGGGGCAAGTGCCGTTATAGCGAGCACCTATGAAGGCCGGCACGAGGGTGGGGGGGGGTGTGGGTGTGCCAGCCTCACGCCCGGCCGCCTTTGTCTCCCCAGTGGCGATGTTGACCACACACCACGCCAGGGTACGTCGTCGTCGTCGACGACACACACACCCACGACGCACAACCAACCCCTCACCCCGCTGATGTCCTTGACAAAGTAGCTGCCGCTCGAGCCTTGCAGGATCCTCTCTGGGTACACGCCAGCGTCCACGGCCGCCTCCACGTCGCCCATCACTTTGGTGAACTCGGGGTCGCGCGGGAAGACGTTGACGAGGCTCGCCGGCTCCACGCCGCGACTGCCCCGGCGGTGTTGGGGCGACAGCAACGGCTGCCTCTCCCCGTCGGCACTCGAGTCGGAGCCGGCGACGAGGCGCACGGGGAATCCCGGCGGGTGGCGGTGAAAGTGGTCGCGGTGAACGTGGTCGTTGTTATCTGGTTGGAAGTGGACGTCGTCGTGGTCGTGGCTGTGACCGTGGAGTTCGTCGTACTCGTGCTGCTGCTGGTGATGATGCTGCTGCGGTTCAGGTTGTTGTTGTTGATGCTGTTGTTGTTGATGGTCGTGCTGTAGTGGACCATCGCGATGCTCTGTCGGATGATCGCCCTGGTGAAGTTGATGATCTTGGAGTTGCTGCTGGTCGTATGGTTGTTGTTGTTGACGATCGGGTTGTTGCTGCTGCTGGTGATTGTGTTGTTGTTGTTCATCGTGTTGTTGTTGTTGTTGTTCATCGTGTTGTTCATTACCATGTGGCTGTTGTAGATGGTCACGGTGGTCCGAAGAAAGTCCTTCATCCCATCCGTGGTCTTTGTCGACCGACGGTTCCCGTTCCGCGCTGCCGTCGCCGGCTTCGTCCATGTTCACTCTTGGCCTTCTTCTCGCTGCTGCTGATGAAGATGCTGAAGATGTTGTTGACAATGTTGTTGTTGTTGATGTTGTTGATGTTGTTGATGTTGTTGACAGTCCCTCTGTGGCCTAAGGCTGCCCCGTCCGGCTTCTCGTTTCGCTTTGGGAGGCCGCAGCAGACTTAATAATCCGCTTAGCGGTGGCTTCCACCCCGACAACTCCCACACCTCCACAATACACACGCGTCTTTCTATCCCCCTATGGCACGTTCCATCTGCATCAACATCGACCAAACCAACATCGTGAACAGCGGCATTCTAACAGGAAGCTTTACTGGGACAATCAAACATTATACCCGCCCGCCTGCCCGCCACCTCACCCCGTACAAACACCCGACTAAACAACGATTACTATATCGGTGTGTGTGTGTGTATCATCCACACCCTGTGCGTGATAACAACTGCGCGGACCGACACACCACACAGTGGCAGCGGCAGGCGAAGCGAGCGGTGTGACCCCACCCACCACCACCACCACAGCCCCGCCCCCTTACCCCGCCCCGCCCCCTTACCCCGCCCCCCTTGCAGCAAACCCGCGCCTCGCGTCGCCACTTCCGCTCGCCGCTCAGAGGCTCGCGGCGCGTCAGCTGATCGCGATCAGCTGACGCGCCGGCGCGCGTCACGTCGGCCGCACGGGGCGGGGGGCTCCGGGGGGGGGCGGTGTCGCGGTCACCTCACAGCGCCCCCCAGCGGCCCTCACGGCGTCCACACGACACCCCCCCCCCCCCAGTGATACCCCCCCCACAGCGTCCTCCCACAGCGCCCCCAGCGGCCCTCACAGCGTCCCCCCCAGTGACACCTCCCCTCCCACAGCGTCCTCCCACAGCGCCCCCCAGCATCCACACGGCGCCCCCCACAGCAGCCCCAGTGCCCCCCACAGTGCCCCCCACAGCGCCCCCCCAGTGCCCCCCACAGCGCCCCCCACAGTATCCCCTCAGCCTCTCTCTCTCTGTCTGCTGTGTGCGTGCGCGCGTTCGAGAAAGCGATTTTTCTGGTCACCGGTGAACAGAATCGCGTGAACCCGTACGGTTTAGCCCGTCGTGTCCCTGTTCAGGGAAATTTGAGTTTTCAGGTCCATGCGGCGTACAGCCGTTTCAGTACGGGCAACAAAAACACGTCGATTTGTTTGCGTTTCTCCCTTGTAATGGGACTTTGTAGGATGAACGTTGAGATTTATAATGGCACAAAATAACCAACGAGGTCCGAATTGGTCTGTAATGTGGGAAGCACCGACAAGGGGATGACATTTCTGGGTAAATTCAATTTTGGTCACCGGTAATTCACAACCACGCTATGGGTTATTTGGAGCATATTGGCACGAGACAAAGTGGAAACACTCTTTGGTATGGATCCCTGCAGTCACGAAAACTTCAAATATAGAAAGTGGAAACAAATGACGAAATATGCAGCGGTTACCTACGAACTATCTTGCCCCATGGATCGTGGCGATAATGATAAAGAATTCTTAGCCATAATTGCCTTTGACTTTTCGTGTGGATGATGTTGATGCGGAGCAACAGCTGTAATTTTATGTCCAGGTGGTCGAGCCAGAACAAGAATATTTATTCACGCTGGAGGAATCCAATGAACGATGAAGCTCGTTTTCACAGATGTCCAGTAGCGAGATCCCGCAACCCACCGATTAGCACGATTGGCTACATACGGTGAAAAATAAGTTCCACAACACACGTACAGATGACTGCGTCAAAAGTAGCGGTGTGGTGTCGCTATAATGCCTCCGTATCGATCTGTGCGTCTAGTGGTCCGAGTGTATGGGTCTCGGTGTAAACCTCTAGATGTCGTAATTTGGCCGATGTTGTGGATATGTTGAACTTCTTTCACACCGTACGTAGATGTAAAATTAGAGCCGTTGCTCTAAGCCAGAGGATTGCATTAGGAAGTGGCGCGATGCATCACCGCTGCGATGCTTCCCCCTTGGCATTTGTGAATCGGGCGTAGTCCTTTATGTTCTCATGGTTTCTTGTGGCTGCCGACCATCAAATACCGAATCCGCTGATGCCGTGCTGTTTTGTGCGGTTGCAATTTCGGGTTGCTGCCCATAACCGACCCGGAAGGACATTTCTGCGTAGTCGGGTCTTTTTACGAGGTGGTTGTGCCCACTTGCGAAATCCATTCGGCTTGGCAAGCAACATCAGATTTGAAGTTGCATTGTTGAAGGCCAAGTGGGCGAGAACAATAATTGCCTTGCGCGACTTCAAGCCGTGGCAATGAACGCGATTGAGATTCACACAAATCGTGCTCGTGGCTATAATGCCGTGTTGGCAGTGCTGTGCAGTTAACAAACTAATCCGTCAATAACACTGCCTCAAAGGAAAAAAAAGTGTTTAATAGGGGACGTTTCAGGCAATTGTTCTTCATAGGAAGTACTTTTGTGTTCTGGTTATTTCCAGAAACGTCACATTGTCCCTTTGAAGGCAGTGTTTTTGTGACATGAAGGGCCATTGCCCAAAACCTTACCTGTTATACATTTCCTTTTTTGGTAGCATTTGACAAATGTATAAGGGGTTCTTAATTACTAGGGTGAAGTATGGTCAAAGAACCCAGACGACCGGCAAGGCCCTTATACAGCAGTGCATTGACAAAAATAGGCTGTGCGTCTGCACGTTCTACACGGCTGATGGTTTATTGAAAATGTTCTCATGTTGCTTGTGCCAACAAAACCAACCAGTTGTGCAAGGAGCAAAGTCCGAACAATTAGCACGCGTTTCCCACCGTGTCCTTGAGTCTACGACTCGATACGGAGCAATGATAGTCGCGATCGTCTGGTTGCAATCGCTTGCTAGCCGCCTATTGAGACTGAATTGGAGTAGTTTTTATTTTTATTTTCAGTACAGTACTGTTCATCATTTTGTTTGGCTCATTTACCCACAAAATCATCGCCAGGCCTCAAGCCTCATGGTCAGGACAGCCCTAGCAGTAGGCAGCGATGTTGATGCGCGTCATCCCAACCGAGGAAATAGCAGGTAATTGGTATGTTTGGCCAATATAGATTGCATTTAAATGGGGGGGGGGGGGGGGGGGGGTCCTGTGGGAGGAAACCAGAAACCCTGGAAGAAACCCATGCAGAAGTGGGGGAGGACAACATACAAGCTTCGCACAGAATAACGGAACAAAAACTCGTGCAAGAACGGGGGGGGGGGGGGGGGGGGGGGGGCTACATCCACACGATTCAATGGCTCATGTCTGCGAACGAGGAAAGGAGCACCGCCAATGCAAACTACTTTGAGTGATTTTAGGTCAGGTGGGGGGGGGGGGAGGCATACGGCTACGTTATTTTGATTTACATCAGTGCCCAATACGTTGTGGGGCATGTTGAGCAATCTGACGCACACAGCAACACTATTTAAAACAAGATTGGTAAATTTAAGAGACTTTGGCAAGGCCCAAGGACTGGGGAGTTTTGGGGACCCGGCAATAAGACCATTAAACAAGTTGTTTATAGGTTTGTCTGATATGGCAATGCGAAATGCCATACGAAGCAAAATATAGTTGGGGAATATAGCCTGCTGAATCCTGTTCGTGTTTATAGATTCAGCTATTGTTTTCGACAAAAGTCACCTACCCATATCGACAACAGCATAGTTATACAAGGCTTACCTTGCAGCAGCCCGTTCGATATACGAATTGCACATGCACACATCAATCTCCAGCAGATAGGTTGACACTAATGCAAAAAGGGGCAACTTCAGGAAGCCACCAGGGGTGCCGTGAGCAATGCACCACGTCAGTGCAGCCAATTATGGATAATGCACATTGGATATTTTCCAGGGTCTCCATCGACCCCATTCAAGCATTATTCAAAACAGGGCCCCGTACCCAAAACATTAGCCTATATTTAGCCATTATGAAGCAGCTTTAATGTGGCATTTTTTTTGTAGTTATGCCTGCCATACCACTATTCAGTATTTTTGTTGTTCACATCTTAACTCGCACAGTACACAGTATTACTTTAGTACATTGCCTCATGTGATCCGTTTCAAATTCATTTTAAGTTAAAGGCTTTTCCAACGTACAAAAAATCTTAAATTTATTTTTTTAAATACATTCATACCAAAGTTTAAAGTTACTATCAAATTCAAGTCAGTATTCAGAACCGCACCACTGTTCTGTATTAACCATTGACAACATTGGAGATGGTCTCTTCGGCACAAAAAGCCCCCGCTGAGTGCAGAGACGGCGGTAGTACATCGCACAAGCGATGACGACGACACTGCCAAAGAACAACGTGATGGCAGCGTTGGCCAGGGTGGACCCGTCGTCACCAACGCTCTCATCTGCAAAGACACACCGCAATAAAATCCAGGTCTGGTCTTCCAAGCGATAATGCAGTGGTTTTCCCAACCCTCCAGTCTAGATGACCCCCCCCCCCCCCGCCCATCAAGAGGGCAGCTTTCTGCGATTCATGACTATCGGGTGTGTGCAGTGCGGTAGCAGTTTCAATTACATACGAATGAAAAATACTGGCAAGCACAAAGCTGTAGTTGTTGGAGGTTGTGAGGACTCGAGTTTGAGAAAGTGTTTGATATTCATTTTTTGATGTGTGCTTTTGCTGTATTTGGCAAACGTTAGCCTACAAAAGGATTAAATAACTGGCAGGATCAGAGAATAACCTCGCGCAAGTCAACGATTATATGCATAAGTGTTCAAAATCATGCGTGCGTGAAATTAACAAGAGATTAACAGAAGAACGCAGCAACTTACTCGTGAGATGTTGAGAACGTTTTTCCTCCTGCACAAGCAGGACCGGTTCATTAGCAGTCACGAGCGACAGGTCGACGTCTCCATCCTTTGTAGTCAAGTGGCCTGTACAGAGGACAAAGCACTTATCCAATGGAACGTAAAATGTTAAATAATTTCTGCACATCCAATGACTGTCGCCTGGAACGTGTCCAATATACCATCGGATCTCGGAAGCCAAGCAGAATTCAACCTGGATGTTGTTTTGAAGGCAACTTAAAAAAACGGTTATAGGTTGCAGGGCTACACAATTGGCAGTACAACAAAAACCATCATTGTATTATACTTCTACGCTTCCTACAGCTAAGCTACCTACCTTCAACCCTGCAAATACCCCCCCCCCCCGACCCAAAATGATGTGTGTGCCCTCATAGAGCAGTGGATTAAACACAGGTTTGTACATGTGTAGTGGCATAGCGCTGGCTGCTGGCGAAAAAGGGAAACTGCGGTGTACAGCAGTGCTCACATCAGCTGGCCATGAGATATACGAGAGGGGGACGTCACAGAAGGGGCCCATCGGGAAGCCCCAGGAACCCGCTAGTAGGTTCCAGAAGGGGAGCGTGGCCAGGGCAGAGCAAGGCCATGCTGGGAGTACAACAGGGGACCGTGTGCAAGGACCTCGTGGCTGTTGCTGGAAGTGGGATCTCCGTCGTGCTGCTTAAGTCCATCGTCGTCACAACATCTCCTCGTCGTCGTCTCAGTCTTCACCATCCCGGGGCGCTGCTAGTCAGCCTACCGACTGTTCTAGGTAGTGCTTCTGACAATAGACAGTCTTAATAATAATAATAGTGTGCACCCACGTAGGGTGTTGTGTGTTATCCCGATGGTGCTTGTTAAATAAAGAAATGCCTCCAAGTCTTACCGTCTCCGAGTTGAGTCGCTCCACATGTGTAATGACAAGAGTCTGCATGCGGTGTGAGGGGACTAGTGGCCACAGGAGGTAATGCTAGGGGAGTCGGCCTATAGTGCGAATGCACTAGTGGCTACGGGAGGTAATGACAGGGGTACAAGTTGAGTGTGAAGGGACTGGTGGCTACGGGAATGTTCGAGAATGAAGCGTGGTCAGGTGACAGAAAAGGACGGTAGAGTCTGACAGTAGAGCGAGCGTCCAGAGTCGGCGAGAATGATCGAGAAGGGGGCCGTGGCCTCGTGTTGATAAACAAGGGAGATGCGTGGGAGACTGGAGTCTCCGCCTGATGTCAAGTGAACGCGTCTTCAATAAAGTGCCATCAAGAGAAGTGTGTTAAGTCGTCATTACACATGTACAGCCACTGCCTGTCCAGCAAGAAGGGACTCCGATTAGCACGGTGAGCACCATACGTAACAAACTGTGCTCGTCGACGGTGTGGGGTTTTGAGTCACACGGGCGCCTAAACAGCCAAATTTCAAATCTGCCAGGCGGATTCGGCCCATTGTTCTTGCCAAATGCAGACATCAGAACGTTTTTGCCCAAAATTCATGGAAGATGAAGGTCAAGATGCAGGACGTGGGCCTCGTCAGCACACTCACGTTTAAACTTGGAGGAACATCCAGGAACGCAGGAAGATTCATCCCCCCCCTTGCACACGTAAGCACTGCAGTGAAAGTAGAGCTGCAAAAAACACACACATTCACGAAACGATTAACACCAATAAAAATATATGATTACGCTCACAAATACACTCGTCAACAGTGATTTCCTGTTAACGCAAATCATTTGCAAGTTACGATGCTAATTGTGCCCTTGGGCTAATGCAACGGAGACAGAAAATAGGAGAAAAAAATGAGACAGATTCTTGAATTGTCATTTCAAAATAAAGAAACATTGAATCGCTTCCAGGAAAGCACGTTTGGGAGGGGGTGGAGTAAATTACAGGTCTAGGTGTATGACATCAACCTTGGGCTATGTGCGCATGAACCCTGCTGCTGTACCCCAATGTGTTCGGACACTATTTCAAAAACACTTCTCCCCTCTACAATTTACGTATCTCAAAAAGCCCAGCTGTGGTCAAAGGAGAAAATAAATTAAAAAGTTAACGTTACCAGTAAGGAGATAATTTTACGTTGAATGCTAACGACGGCACCAAGACGGAGACGCAAATGAACGGTTATTGTAAAACCCCACCTTTCCATAGGGCACCATGGCATCTTGTGGCCCAGTGAAGACGAATGTTTTGACTTCAAAGCGCTTGTAGTGAGAAGAGAGGAGTACGCTGGGAAACTCGCTCATTGGGTGCAACACTGTCTGGTAGTCGTCTCCAGAAAATGGGCAGCTGCAAAAGAGAACCACACTTTCCATTTAGCACAGCCCCAGAGGGCACTTGTGAAAACGAAAGTTCCTAAAGTAAATGGCATTAGTTATTTTAGATTGTTTTCCCCATCACAATTACATTCCAATTGTGCCATTGGCACAAGTGTCATTCAGGTTAAGCAACGTTCAATGGGCACTTGCCAGCTAGCGTACGACCCTGGAGGAACATGACGTCACAGAACTACTTCTGAAATTTCCGGGAATAGATCGGGTGGTGGTATAAGAGGGCAGGATCAGTTCAGATATTATTCTATACAGATGTTAAAATGTGGCCGGAAAACAAACTCGGGCCATCAGGTTCACAGTGCAATGTGCAGAAGCGCGTTGTTGTATAAAACAATTGTCTAAGATTCATACTGGTTGTCCAGGACTCTCCACTGGACGCTGTTGAGGGGGTCCGGTGTCGGCGTGGCCCAGCAGTCCTGCAGCACCAACACGAGGTTTGGGTCCGGGTGGTCCAGGAGCCGAACCTCCAGGAAGATGGGGTCCCTCAAGAACTTGACGACCGGGAACTGCGAGTAGTAGTCCAGGTATCTTCCGTCTGTAAAAACACAATTTAAACAATTAAATAATTTCACTAGCAAATGAACATGATTAAAGTCGATCAAAACTAGACCAAAAAACTAAAAATGTCGAGTACACATCGTTGATACTATTTTGGGGAGTGGTAGAGTAATAGTTAGCGTGTCGAGCTCACAGCCAACAGCAGTGCCGGTTATCGGCACCGGTCCTGGGCCTCGTAACTAGGTTGACTTAGCCTCAAATGAGTACCTAATGCAGTGTGTATCACCACGAGGGAGACCAAGGCGGCAGGGCGTGGTGCTGCAGCGTCGGCCTTCATTAGGTGCTCGCTAACAGCACTTGCCCCAACAGTGTGTTAAGGCTATACAGGGGATCTTGTCTTTGTTGATCCTATTGCACGATGGAATTTACAATTTTTTAAATCTGATACGAGTCTAGTAACAAGTGGGTATGTTGAACTCATTTAACGTAATACGTAGACAACCGTGCTAGTCTGGAGATATGAAAAAAAAAAGTCCTGATGCCAAGAGACCAAACCGAATCTATATGGGAATTTACAAATCAGCCCCAAAGCGGCGAGTACCCCGTGCAATCCGTAGCTCCAGGTATAGAGGGCCTGCCCCGGTCACCGGGCGGGGAGGAGGAAGTGTTGCCACAGTGACTCCCAATTGTAGGTCGTCCTTCCCATGGAATCGGCACTGCAGTACCAACCTGGACGTGGTTGCACACAGCCGATAAGATCACCTTGGGATACTGTTACGAGACAAACACCACAATGAATTGAACCACCAGAACAGTGTAAAAATAACGTCTCGTTCAATTTAACGGCTTACACGTTACGAACACCACCACATTCCATTACATCGCAGAACTGAGGGGATGATGACGGTTACGGGATGCCTTCAGCAAGCAGCGGGGATTGATCAATTACAACTAAACTTTTTTTTTATTTTACCAGGTAAAGCCCACCGAGCTATATAGTTAGTTTTTAGAAGCGACCTGGCCACAAATGATAAGTCAACGAAATAGCTCATCATGCAGAAATGTCTAAAATGTTTCTAAATGTAAAAGGAGTAAAAACCGGAGGACGCAGGAGAAAAATGCACACGACCACAGGATTAACATGTAAACCCTAACTATGCAGGCGTCAAGGGTTGGGATTGAGCCCACGACTTCATACCAGGCAAGGGAGTCATAGCATCTCACCACCGCAGAGCTCCTCGGGAGACCATACACATTGTGAAGCAGCAGCGCATTCAATAAAAACGACACAGCGAAGAGAGGAAAAAAAAGTGACACCATGGAGATCTTGATTAAAGGACTTAAAATTATCGTGACTGCAGGAATGCATGTTCTTGGTTCTTTCGGTAAAGTGACGTAAATTCAAAATAAAAATGAATAAAATACAATTAAAGTAAAAAATAATAAAGTTAAAATAATAAAAGCAAAAACCCACGAGATTTCGATCACAACACAAGCAGTCTTGATGAAGACCACTTATTGATGAAGACCGCTTGTGCTGCAAACGAAACGTCGTGGGTTTTTTTGGGCTTCTATTATTTTTTACTTTGATTTTCTATCTACGTGACTTTACCGAAAGAACCAAGAATACAAGATCTTAGTTACTTGTATGTCGCGGAGTTTGTGATGGCGACATTTCCATCGACACACAGCTCGTGGTCGGCGATCAGCTGCGTTTCATAGACGAGCTCCTCTCCAACCCACTTGGCAAAGAGAAGCACAGAGGGCACACGAGTTAACAGAATGCTATAAAATAAACAAGACAATGATATTGTATGGTCTAAACAAATTGGGGTTTTTTCCCCGATTTATTTTAATGTTTTCCCATTATCGTTCAGAGTTTTGTTGAAATCCATTCTGAGTGTTAACATCTCAATCCTTTAAAAATCTCTTCCCCTTCCAGAGAGATGGTGGTTACTAACTTCATCCCCATTGGTAGAAATTGACTGCAACGTGCCAGAACGGCGTGGTGGGAGTGAAAATTTTAACCGCATAGCAGAAGGAGCCCGTGATACATGTAGTGGTGGGTAGTACATCTCTCACCCCCTGGATTTCCCAAACATACAATTGCATAAAAGTGTCCGATTTTGTGTTTAATAATAAACGTATGAAAAAGGAAAAAAAAATAATCGATTCATAAAATTAACTTTTAGCATTATTTGACTTTCAACAATGCTGATAATGACGGTAATAGTAACCATAGCGACCTATACCCGAGTTGTTGCGCCACAAGAACTCATGGAGAAGTTGAAGACGACAAAGTCGGTGGCCGTCACCACGGGTCCGCAGCTTTGGCGATCGCCACGCAGGTGTAGGGTGCTCAGGTTCAGCGGCGGCGAGGTCACGTGCCGGGAGACGGCGATCACGAAGCGCCCGTCGCTCGTACAAACTGGGGGTCCCCCCCCCCCCCACCCACCACAGCAAAAACAAACATCGCCGCAATTCGCATTTAGGGAGGGCTATGCGGCTGGCAATGAATGCAAAACGTAAAAAAAAAAGAGAAAGGCAGGTGGAAGATCGTGGCAATCACGACTTGGAACCCGGTGAGCTGAACTCTCGGCCAGGGCCATCGTCAGTGACGAGTGCCAACCGGCACCAACCCCCCCCCCCCCCACGCACCTCCAATTAGCACGGTTGGTTATGTGCGGCGCGAAAGAACTTCAACATGCATACAAACAACCCCTTAACCACAAGCACAGCATGGGAAGGACCCTGTCGGCAGCAAAATAGCAATGGGCTGCGAATTATTATTAGTAGCCGTTACTATTTTATATTTCTTCATCTAAAAAAAAAACACCATTTTCAGCAAATCATTGCAGAACTTTCAGCGACATCATTCGTATGCAAGTTAGGAGGCAGCTCGCCTGGTTCCCCGTAAAAGCACGACTGCTGCACGGGGTCGTAGCAGCAGCCCCTCTGCACGCATTCGTCACGAGTCGTCGGAGCGATTCCGCAGCGATGCAGTCCGTTCACAGGCGTGCACGTGGCGGCAGCAGCAGCCCTTCCCGCTGCCGAATAGAAACACAAAATGAACCACGGATGTGCGGGGAGTCGTAAGCAACATGGGTGGAGTTCACTCAGGACAATTACGTGTGCAGGGGGCTCGACTGCAACAAATATTTTTCTGTGGCTTTTGCAGTCTTGTGTGTGTGTGGGGGGGGGGGGGGGGGGGTCTACCCGAATGAAATGTGATTAGGAGCAATTTTTGAACGAAATGATACTCAATTATCCAAGAGTGACCACTGCAAAAAAACAGGCGATGGTCACTTGCCTCCAGCACGCAAAGATCTCATGTGCATCGGACATCTCACGGTGAATGTCCAGTCCCTCTGCTTTTTACCCAGCCAGTTCTCCTCCAGCTTAATAGTTAACGTTCTCTGCTCATTCTGTAAGCGGAAAAAGCACACATACACGCGTAACGGGGGATTAAATGGCAAACGTTTGCACAATTTTATACATTAAATTACAAGCGTAACAAAACGTAATAATGACTATGCCCTGCATATACCCAGGAAGGTCTCGGGCGAGTCATTTATTTTTTCGGAGGTTCCGACGACATCGGTAATGTTTTGGACAAATTCACCGCTACAATGATCTTTTGATGCATTAAGGAAACTGGAGTAACTGGAGAAAACACGCGCATACGGACAGCAGAGTACTCAAATGGTATGCACAGATGGAATCACGAGCCTACTTGCTATACTGCCACCTCGTTGCCATATTGCAGCCCAAAAGGCTTGAGAGCGTGCTGCTTCTTACAAGATCTACCAATCCTTTCACTCAAACATCTGGATCGCAGGCATTAAATTACGATTGACATTTCGCGTCTACTACTCTGCTTCCTCTTAAGGTAAGGTTTCATAAACTACAGTCCTTACAACCCACCACAGCACGCCATTTCTACGTGAACCAACATTTTCTCAATTCATATACAACACAAATTCAAATGCCACGTCACCCAGATGATTGGTCAACGTGCACGTGAGAGAGGCACACCAATGGAAATTTAACGAGATCTTGTAATCAATTGAAGAGCGCAATTCTGCACACGTGCACGCATCATATATGCGTATTTTCACGTTGATGTACGCAGCATCGGTTACCATTTCAGAAGCGCCTGCCCGCATCACATGGTACGTTGAAGCCATCAGGCGCGTGCAGCGTGTAAACCAACTTTAAATGTATTTGGACGGAGGAAGAGGGAGGACTGGTGGATCAGGATGGAGATCGAGACACCGTGTGTTTTATCCAGAGACCATCACCTGCGTCTTCACGTTACATGCGCCGTTGGGCGCTGTGAATTGCATGCAGCCTGGATGTCTATCGAGACGATATCCACATTCCTCCGCCAAGGACTCGGCGGGAACGTCGGCATTCTGCGAATCTGTTTAAACAAACAACAGCAACAACAATTAGGAGACGGCATCATGATGATGCGTCGCAAGCACGGTTTTAACTCGTGTTTACAAGCCGTGTAACTGTGTCCACCACATCTATTAATTCATTTTTCAATTCTGGGTGACGATTCTTCCATTTCATTTTCAATATCGCACCCGCTAGTGACCGGATCCCTGTACATGCAAAGTACGAATTATTGAAAAAGTATCTTACACACGTGGTTCAATACTTGTGCGGAGTAAAAAAAACAGCATTCATTTTTGTAGTTTTACATCACCAGATTGCCATGTGATCAAGACGGTCAAAATTGTGAAGCCTTACCGAGAAGCAGAACTCTGTACGACGTTCCGGGCCCTCCACCCTGCCAAAAGAAAAATCCCACCGTTGTCGGGTGGCACATGACTTCCAGATCTGTAATAGAAGCGATTGGTTGCGGTTGTAGCATTAGATGGTCCATCAAAACTAAAGATCCCCCGTATAGCATTAACAGACTGGGGACAAGCGCTGTTAGCAAGCACCTATGACGACCGGCACAGCACACGATGGGGTGGGTGGCCAGCACCACCACGCCCGGCCACCTTCGTCTCCCCAGTGCCAATGTTTACACACCGCACCAGGTACTAATTTGAGGCCGAGTCGACCTAGGGGAGGCCCAGGATCGAGTCAGATAATCGTCCGTGGCGTTGGCCGTGAGCAGAAATCGAACGAGCGACGCCGGGTTAGTATCGCAGCACGCCAACAGCTGAACGACCGCTCCCCGCTGGTTGATCACCATCCGATAAACAGAGACAAGCGCATTTTGTTGGCTCAGCAGTTCAGCGAGCAGCCCGGTCAAAAATCTAAAAGCCGTAAATCTAAATCCTGGTTGGGGTATCGACTCGGCCCATCATTCTCCCGGGGTCGATAAAATAAGCGGAGTACTGTAGTAAACAAAGCGGGCGAATACGTACTCTTGGGCGCCCCCGTTAGCAGAACCCTGGCGGATGAACTCGGAGATTTTGCGTGGCTGAATAATTTTCCCACGAGGCTGCGGTGAGATCAAGAGATATGATGGGGGGGGGGGGGGAAGACGTCACGCCAGTGTTCTTGTTACTGCGAATATTTGTTCATGAATAGAAGGTGTTGGTTTTACTTGGTTGCAGAACTCGCTGGGAAAGGAAGTTGAAAGTCGAGATCAGGCCAAAAGCGAAATTGTGATTCAACTTTGTTCCCAAGGGTTGCTACAGTTCTTATCGGCTCTTTAGGATGTGAAATGCAGTTGTATGCACAGCGAGCGATGCGTGCTCAGTCCGTTCACAGCCAATTAATTGAAAACAACGATAATACATAAGTATCAATAATTTACAGTACTTTATCAATCCACTGCTGAAGCCATGCTCCCCCACGCAGTGCCCGGTCATGGGGGTTGTTTGCCCATACTTCACCACTGGTGGTCGGAGCGGATTATTCAATGGAGGGCTCGGTATCTCACTCGGCAGATATCACCAAAAATGAAGCGGTGGCCAGAAACACTAATTTAATAATTATCCTGGATGTTAGTGCAATTAGTTCGCCAACTACTGCACCACCGTTCCCTGCGGGGTAAAAAAAATCCATAAAAATAGATGCCGAAGGAAAACGAACCACACATTTTACTTTTTAATATATTTAACTAATCACAATTAATCAAGCAAAAATTTACGCAATTGTCTTACGCGTGGACGCATGCAATGAACGAACACAAAACCGAGTCGCACGTCCGGTTTCAAGTTACTCGACTGCGGCAGTGGACCAGCGTCTCAGCTCCCCTCCCTTTGCCAGCACGCGTAGAGCGACAAGGAGGAGGAGAAGGAGAGAACACGCTGATGGGTCCCCACCTCCAGACCACCACCCTGAGCAAGACTCCTGCCAGGGACAAACTCCCCATCGTTCACTCCTGACGAAGACGCGCTCACTTCTCTGCCGCCATGGGAGGGGAAGGGGAGAGCGAGAGCGCGCGCGCTAAAAAAAAAAATGCAATAAAAATTGCGCATCCCTTATTCCGTGTTCACGCATTTATATCAATTAGGGGTGTAATTATGCGCCGATTAACATCGATTCTTGGACGCCGATTCTTACGACCGACGTTTTAATCGCGCGTCTAAATACGGACGTTTGTTATCGATCCCTACATATGATAAATTATGGGTATTATGACCCCCACCCCATTTGAAGCCGCGAGATGCCGCAACATTCACCACGATATTAATAATTTTTTAAAAAAACTGCACATTCTGAAATCGGATCGCGACCTTGAATCGTGACGATTATTTTCATTGGGAAGAGGATAGGTGGATGAGACAAATAATTTTCACGGATCTAATTCATGGCATTAGAATCCCACCCATACCCCCGCCATTTCTCCATTGCACTCAATGAGGCGGTCAGGTCGAATTGATTGAGAGCGCGTGTGGCACGCATCCACAAAGCTCCAATACGCACGAATGCCGAGCGATAACGACAAATTGATCTATCCATGACCGCATTGCAGCACGAGATGCGGCAAGGGGTGGTGACAAGAAAGTCACACAACAACCAAGCATTCTCCAGCTTTGTACGTGAACTCATGTCCGCAAGAGCAACAAGCAATGGTGTACCAATGTGCAAACACAAAGTGGTTGCAGGCGACACGCGCCTGATGATTGCGAAACGAGGTCCAGGTGGTTAATTTGAATCGGTCTGTATAGGTCACGTGTGACACGCGCGTACACGCACGTCGTATGCACGGGATATCCTATCGTGACTGAAATCAACTCTGCAAATCGTCGCGTGGTGCCACTTATTGGCAATCCTTAATCGCGTGCAGCGTTTTAAAGTAATACATTTTAATTTTAACGGAGAAGACTGGCAAACGGAGAGAGAAGGGTCGCTCGGACTTGGAGTTTTGAGAAAACCTTGCTCTGTCCGAAGGGGCATTTCAACAGCAAGAATAAACACGCGCGTGGTACGGATAGAGCACGATTATATCAGAGCTACAAATCTCTGTACGACAGAGAAATATAATGGGAGTCCCACACCTGCACGGTTGTTACCTTTCCAATTACACTTCCCTGACTCCGCCTCGGAGTGCACGCAATTCTATAAATGGGCGAGATGCTCCCAGCGCATTCGGTAGCGTGGAGTGGAGGTGCTGCACAGGGACATGGTTCGCATTTTTCTGTTAAGGTAGGCGCGAGTTTGCGTTCGTGGGGGTTGTTCGCACATACTTCACCCAGCCCTCTTGGGCGTGCATTGACCAAAAAAAGAGGATGCAGTACATGCATGTTGGGTGGTGTCGTCTCTACGCAATTGCCACCCGTTGCCCCCCCCCCCCCCCGCAAAGGAGAGCGAGAATCCAAGTTAGCGTTGGACCTTTCCCTCGTACGGTTGTTGGTGTTGACGTGTTTGCAGAAACGTGATGAAGTGTGCAAAACTAACTGGGCGATGCCGAGCCTCCGATAAAGTAGCACGAATAAACCCGAACAGGTCGCACGGAGTAGTCATGCCAGGTGATTACGTGAGCCTCCATTACAGGGTCCCAGTTAACAAAGGTGGCCCATCGCGGGAAGGTGGACTGGATTCGAGGATATGATGTCCAGAAAGAGGGAAACGGCCAAAGCGAAGAGAGAGAGACCCTAAAGAATGAGAAAGCACGTGACGTGTCGTCCATAGAGATGGACGGCACGTGTCCAGTATGCAGCACTCAATGTTGTACGGTCTTGCTGTGCGTGTATGTAATCGGTAGTGGTCGTCTTGAGTTGCTTTTGCTCTCGCCGTGGAAATCGCACTGGCTCGGGACATCCAACTGAGATGAGTGATTTCGTATTGCTCGTTCGGGTAAGAGATCATTTGGTTTTCAAATTGTACGAGAAAAATTGCCCTTTGTTTACCAAGCTAAACTTTTTATTTAGTGTTGAGACCTTTTCAGGAGGGTCCTAGATGCGATGTTTGGAGACGTGAACGCCCAAATGTCCGCACGAATAGGTTGACGAGAACCCGCTTTTGCTATACCGCCATCCTCCTGGCAAAACTTATAACCCGGCGGGGTTGGAAGATTTACAAATGTGCACAAAACGCAAACCTTGGCTCCCCATGGGTATCAAATACAGGTCCTAGTAAATACAGTGCAGACAAAGAGTCTATCTGCAAACGTAAAAAAAACTAAACTTTGTTTTAGTCCATCAGTCTTAAGAGTTTAATGGCGCAGTAGCGATCAAATTTGTCGTACGGCGCAATCGTCGCATCGGGGAGGCACGCCGCAGTTGCGCCTGTTAGCGTCGTGAGACTGTGACCAGCTGCGACCCAGAGGACGAGTCCGCGCTGATGGGCAATCTGTGCGCTCGTGCCGCTGCCACCCCCCCCCCCTGGCGCGCAGCGTGCTGTGCACGTGCACGTGTCACGCACGCGTCGCGAACCTGTGGAAACGCGTGGGCTTCCAAGACGCGCCACGAGGTGAGTGTAGCCTCCTCGCCCGCGTCTGCCACTTCCCCTCGCCACCCTCTGCTGCAGCACTGAGGGCCCCCCCCCCCTAGCCGCTCATCCACGCCGCCGTAACGTGGGCGGGTGCCATGGCCTTGCGCCCACACGTTGTGGAGGTTCACGGTTCGAGACCAGCGGGCCGCCCTGTTTATTATTACTGCGGGTGTATTCGCAATAATAACCGTAGTAATACACCGCATGCCTCGCAGTCGACGTTAAAGATCACCTGTGTGGGCTATTGCTTGCTAGCATCGGGGTCCAAAATGTGCCAAATGGGAAAATTGCTGAATTAAGTTAATACCTGTGGCAAGCATCACTCTAATGGCAGACTAATGCTGCAGGCCACTCCTCTGCAAATGAGACGATCCTCGTCTCTTGATGTCTCACCTGATCAAACACATTGTCCCGAAGTCTAACCGGGATCAACATACCTACCCACCAGTCTGCACACTAATGACAAGTTATATTTCAAATGTCACAGATATCGAAATGGTGAATGATTATGGTGAAACTTGACCAGCTACATCATAGCTACCCAATATCAGATCGGCATCGCTGTATAACGTTCATATTGCTCGCGAATGCCCTCACGTGACCAGATCTAGAGACGCGATGCCTTTCCACATCACTGGGATTCTTCATCCCCAAGAGTGGCTCTGCCCAGAGGTTCACGATCAGAGTACTGGGTAAGGCTTTTTCACCGTCCTACGTGGCTTCACTGTAACAAATTGATGTTTACAGTAGTTCCTGTGATATGCGAGCAAACCACGTGTTTAATTTACGTGTACAGGCATGACGATGTTAACGGATTACTTGCCACTTGGCGATGTTGTGTACCCGGTACATTGGAAAAAACGTGGTGAATCTAGAGAAAAACACCTTGTGGTGATATCTTATTGTCCCCACCCCTACCCCAAATTTAACCCGATTGTGATGTCGGTGTCGTCAGCTCCTGACATGACGGAGAATCCTTTCGGTTCTGTCGGAGAGAAGCGCGCACCTTCACGTCGGTGAAGCCGTTCACAGAAGTGGCTATGTAACTAAGCTTATCCGATTAGCGCGGTTGGCTTGCGTACGGTGCGAAAGAAGTTAAACGTACATACATAGCTCCATGTGAAATCCTGTCGGCACCGTCGAGTGCAGCACTCTCCCTCCCACCGTCAAACGAGAGTCATGATCGTCGCGTGGCGGTCACGCCGACGTCTTCATCATCAGCGTTGGAATCTAGCCACATTTGAGTGCTTGGCCAAATGTTTTTGTTTAGTTTTAATGCGTAGCCATTAATGGCCAGGCAAAGTATATCAACTTGATACACTACCTGCGGTCATCTTTAGTGTCCTAAAGCACAGCGCTTGATCCAAGTGGAGAATCGATTTTATTTAGGATGAGTTTACATATATTGTGTGGGCATTGTAGTGACGTGTTTTGGCCTTCGCCCAACAGAAAATAGCAACATAGCCACAAATATTGAGACTCTGCCAAACGAATGCGGCTACAAGATCGAAGATGACGCTCGTGGGGTGGAGTTCAAGGTTAACAATGAAGCTTGCTGCGTTCACACCAAGGTAGGCTTTGCTTTGCAATTACATTGGAATGGCGTGGTCTGTAATTGTAATCTCGACAAACTATTAGCGAACCACAACGTTGTAATTGGTCACTTGTCGGGCTGTGTGTGTGTGAGTGATGGTGTTTTTCCTTCTCTAAGAACGGAAAGAGGACTGTGAATATTCATCTTGAGGAGGCTGTGGATGGCCAGACAACGCAAGCGTGGAGGTTCACCCTTGACTGTCCACTCAACCTGAGATCGCTCAGAATCGGCGGTACCTAACGAACATCATTCACGTCTATGTTAGCCAAGTAACGATGCGTCGATTCATCAGCTACAATTGTTACATTCGCACTATGCAACTAACATTGTGCATGCGGTTATTGATTGTTTACGAATTATTCCAATGTGTATGCAAGTAACCTTTGTGAGAGGGCGTCTTATAACCCATCTCCTCTTATGATCTATATCTTGTTGCTCCATTTAAGCCATCTCGGTGCGCCTATTTCACGTTTATAAAAACAACAACTAACATTTTGTTTCTCTACAAAGTTTGGATGATTGCGCAAAGTTTCCACTGCCTCTTCACTATTATTTACTGGATATTCACGGCAGCACGAAGATGTTTGTGAAATTAGGTTTGGTGACATACACGCCAAAAAAGTTAACGCGTTTAAAGTGTTGGCCATCTCCGTTACGCTGACAGTCATCATCACAAATAATGGTGATGAACTCCAGGAAATGATGGAAGAACTTCAGAAGTCTGCAAAATGAGACGATAAATGAGAATTACTGGGGGGGGGGGGGGGGGGTGAATGGTGGGGTGAATTGTTAAATACCCAATATTAATGGCGTGCACGATCATGCAAAGTTTAATTCGGTTGTTTAAATTCATCACGCATAGTCGGCGAAGGACCGTTGCGCCAAAAGGTTACGCCTTGCGACGGCATTAGCATAAACTTCTCTTGCTGCCGTGCATCGGTGTCTCGATTAATTTGTTTGATCCACGTATTACGGGGAGGGGGGGGAGCGACCACGGGGGGCATCGCCATTCCTTTTGATGGTCGCAGTCCACTGAACATGAAGCGCCAACTGAAAGCGCGCAATTGGGCTGCGGTTTGCGCATCAAGCTGTTGAACAAGGGTCGCGTTTTAAGGTGAAAAGGGTTCGCGGTTTGCTCCGCAACGTGTGGACGCTTCAGAGTCTTCGGCCTGCGCGTCCACGCTCCCAAACGTGCGGTGCGGTGCTGCCGCTGCTCGCTCGGACAGGGACGCGTGCTCGCGCAGAGGATGCTGCTACGACCCCATCCGACAAGTGTGCCTCT